TGGCCCATATTGACAGGTCTACCTAGAAGTATGGGATATGGTGGGATTTGTCTTGGGTTTGGACATCGAAATTTATGTCCTTGGTTTAGGTTCCTTATTCTTTTGAACAATTTTAGACCTTGTTATTATTGAATAAATACTATAATAGTACTATTTACTGAAAAATGAAAAACAAAACAATTTAATTAAGGTCTGTTGGGTCAGCTAGCAATTTCATTACCTACTCAAATAAACTATTATTAGCATCTTGTTTTGTTACCATGGAATCTAGACGTCTTCCCCATGTTTCTGTATTATAATACTGGATTTAAACATTTCATTGGTATCAATATTTGTTTTGGATGATGGACGACCTAATGCCATACTTTTGATGCAAAACAATGCAAATTCATAACTTGACTGACCCCAACAACAAAATAAGCAAGAATCCAATTAAGCACTGTGTTGAAAATTAACTAGTTAATAGGGAAAAGGAAAATAAATGAGCAAAAAAGACATAGCAAAACCATACTTAAATCCTTGAATAAATCAGTTCAGACGTCCCACTTTTTGTTAAGATGGTGTGATCGGTATTTGATGGAACATCAGGTCATCCACAAGCCTGGTACAAGTGATGGTAGATACGTGTCTCGGTTGGAAAATCCAACTTTTTGAAGAACAATTTATCCTACACATTCGAATTAAGGTGACAGTCTCTTCCAACAGGGAGATTATACCATATCTATGCTGACTCGTTGAATTCGGTAATTTCACTGTTTATCCAATTGCAAATTTGAGCAATGAAGCTTTCACGCAGCATATCTGATGAACTGAAGGTGATTAGTATATATGATCACCTGTAAATCGTATAGCAAGAACTGATTCACAAGTGACTCAGGTTTAAAGTAGATTTCTCATCAACATACTCATTTGGGAAAATTACAGCGCCTGAGTAAATAAAAATTCTGCTTGACATGAAGAGTTGAAGAGCCTTTGCAAGGAACCAAGTCGTTGAAGCCTCTATAATTTTTTTTATGAAGCAATTTCGATAGCTCAGCTTCGTACTGCCCGACGTGTTCATCTGTCTTCTAAGTTTCAGAAGCAGGCCAGTGACGATTCAGAAGGGACATCTCATCGTTATCATCCAAATCGAGGCTCTTCTCCCCTCCAAACTCTATATTATTAATTTCATCTCTTTCCTCGTCATTCAGCTCTTTTGAGTCTGCAATAAAAAAATTGGATTGTTTGCCACTTGATGGAGAATTATTTTCCTCCAGTTGTTGGGTTTCTGATTCTATCAATGCTTGCATTCTTGCTCTCTCCCGGTCTCTTGGATATGTGCAATAAAGGAATGAGTAAATGAAGCAACAGATTGCCATTGGAATCCCAGTTGCTGCGTACAGTGCCTTAGCGAGTGATGCAGCATTCTCTCTATCGGTCTCAATCTCTATAAAGTCCGATGACCCTTTGGGTATTGGTTTGTAACCGTAAACACGCTGAGCCAAAATCCCAACAAGAGAAGGCGCAAAAGATGCCAATATAGACTCAAAAGATTGATCCAAGGCATAGATGCTCGTTCGGGATTTCTCAGGGACAATCTCTGCAAATATCGGACTGTATACACCATTCATATACCAGAGAATGCTAATCAAATGCAGATAAACTATTGTAATTATAATTAATATATTCAGTGAAAATATGAAACAATAGGCTAATGCATGCATCATTTCATTCTCAACCTGTACTAGCAATGCAAGTAAAGGATTGAATCAGTTTGGCCTAAAGAATAATTGTGCATAAGCATACTGATAAACCACTAGTAGCACCACCAAAGCACTGGAGCATGTTAGTGTTTGTGCACCAAACCAAATGCTAAATTTAGACAGTTTTTAATTTCACAAATTGATTGAGCATCTAGCAACTATTGATCGATTGCTTTCCCCGATGAAGCCCCTAGGTTCCACTATTCAATGCCATACTCTACTAGGACTATCCCTTTACTATCAATACAAAAGTACCGAAACAACTTACCTTGTTATATTCAACATCTACAGTTTGAATATGGTTCTCACAGTAAGCAACATATCTTTGGCTCCCCAAGAGATGTTTATACTAATTCACATGCAATAGACTTTGTCTACCAAGAATACCTGCATCATCCACAAATGAGTGGGAAATCTAAATTAAGTTCTAAATGAGGCTGCACTAAGCCACAGAATGTTTGAACCTATATTTTCAGAGAGAATGATAATCCTCTTGTATGTTATTGTTGTCCTACATCTTATATTTGATCACTTTCCTGTGACTGAACATCCATGAGAAACATGCGTTAGTTAAAAGATCAAAATAATCCCTAAGGTGTAAGGATAGAACGTGGACTCCTTGTCTAGCAATGTCACAAGCACTATTATGCTGTGATAAACAATAAAGTTTCTTTCGACTTCATTTCCTTCCGGTCCAACCCAAGCAAAATAAAGTTATCACCAAGTTAGTTATAAGTATAAAGATGGACCAAGAAGACTTACTTGTTAGTTGCTGGAGCATTCCAGGATATGCACAATCCCATGATGAAAAAAACGAGACCATGCATAAATGCAGTGGAAGGATCATCAGGTAATGCCAACATCAGTACTGCCGCTATAGGGACTGCAGAACCTACGCTTATCTGTGAAAGAATAATTCTCCCAGAATTGGGCAACCGTTTGGCTAGAATATCTCCCATCCTTCCTCCAAAGAGACCACCAAGAGAATTGGAAATTACAAAAGAGGTCATGATAGATGCTGTTGTTTCATGGGAGAAGCCAATGAGTTCAAGCCACATAGGGATAAATGACCAAGATGACCCGGCAAATGATCCCGAAACACCTTGAGCAACAATAATTTGGAAAGTAGGGATCCTCGTAACTGACTTTGCTTCTTTTATCATGTCCTTCATTTTTGATGAAAAAGACTTATATTCAATATGTTCTTTGGCTGTATTATCACTATCAGAAAATCGAGGATCCTTAGCAAAAAGATGGACCAAAAGACCAACTACGACACTGATTACACCCACCAGAAGGAAAGCAAATCTCCAGCCAGGTATCCCCATGATAGTTTTTGAGGCAATTAGTACTGAACAGAGCCCACCTAGAATGGAGCCAATGTTTCCTGTCAGTTGTAGCCATCCAAAAGCCATACCGCGGTTACTTTCATCGGTTGAATCAGCAACAAGGGACTGAATAGCAGGTATGACAATGGCAAGTCCAATCCCATTCACACCTCTTGAAACTGCGACCTAATTAGCCAAATAAGAGAATTGTTGCTAGATTATGCACCTGATGATGCCAAGGAATAAGTTAAGTCTTTGTTTCCTAGGACTATCCATACAATAAAAACACAGTATCAGATGTTACAAGTATAATAAAGCTTATGCTTAATTCAGATTGCAATTGCACCATATGATTTAATAACAAGAAAAACAAAAACGCATTTTATACCATGTAACATTGTAAGCTGCAGTTAAGACTTAAGACACTCTCTTGCAGTTTCATCCTTAATAATGCTTGAATATTCACTGAGCTTTAAATATGAAATGAAACAACCATTATGACATATACTCAAAACCTCCTGATTTTTTTGAACCACACAAAATAACTGAAAAAGGAAATGCACAAAAACTCTAAACACTGGTTTCTCATTGGAACACATAAAATGCTTGCCTAAATGTATAAATTTCTTTAACAATCTTGCATTTTCCTGCCCCAGTTCTCCACCTTTGACCCAATTATATAAGAGGCAACCCCTTGTGCCCCATTCCAATTTCATAAGAACCATTAGATCTGCCTACATACCCATTAAAAACCAAAACTCAAACCCTACAATAAAACCAAATCCAATCAAAGACAAACCAACAAATAGGCTTTCATATTTTACATCAAAGAAACCAAACAATGATACCCAGAAAATTAAATATCTTATTAACTGGGAGAAAAATCAAAACCAAAATGCTGTTTAAATAACCTGGAGGAAGTTGTTGGAAATGGCAACAAGAAAGGTCGCAGAAGCCCAAAGAAAAGCACCAAGAGCAATGACATGAGCACGATTGTGATGCATAGCAAGATAAGCAGCTAAAGGGTAACAACAAGATTGCACGATGGATCTAAACAGAGTGAGTGAGCCTAACCCTGTTGGGTCTATATGCAAAGCTGCACCAACTTCGTTGTAAACTCCGGGCAACAATGACTCATCCGCTGTCTCCATTATCGCAGCAAGATTCACTAGAACCAACGTTAAAGTCTCTGACTTCATTGTGACAATTCTGTCTTTGGGAACAAAGAAAAACAGAGAATCAAAAACAGATCATTCCAATTTTGGTTTAAGATCCTCTGTTTTTCTTTGATCTGTTGTCACTTGTTAGAGAGAGGAGTTGAAAGTTGACTTCATTGAGCAAAACCACTGTGCACTACAACATATAAATGAGCGGAAGGGGATTCATATAGGTAGGGCCCATCTTGGGAGTAGACCCACGAAGATCTTCGACATTTGACAAGTGTTAGGTTGTGATTGGATTGACCCAGAGTCTGGGAGTCTTTTTCCTCGGATTTGCTTTTATGACAAAAGAAGAGGAAGCAGTTAGCAAGAGTTTCTGGTGCTAATTTTGGCCAACCAAAAGGCTGCTGCAAGAGGTTGGGGAAATGGTGGAGATCTGTCTTAGATTTGGACATCGAAGTTTATGACTTTGGTTTCCATATCTGAACAAGGTTGCCCTTAATCATTTTTGGTTTCCAATACTTAGTTTTGTCTGAAATGACGTGTCAAAATTTAATTGAATAGAATTCTAAAATCTATTTATGCACAAAATGGGTCAATCACGAGAAATAAATAATTATGACCTCAAACTCTGTATCCAATTGCATTTTTGCTTTTACCCAAATTATAAAAACAACCAAAATCCTTTCTTTTACTATGTTTAAACATAGAGTATAAAATTATTCAAGTTGCACAACTAGCATCACATGCTGAAAAAACAAATCAATTTACTTTAGGGTATTGGGTTAGCTATTATTAGCATCTTTTGTTAACGTCAAGCATACTCTAAGCATTGATATTCGAACCCCCAAATAATAAAAAAATGAAGTACACAATTTTAAGCAAATATCTTCATAGGGCTTAAGGAAGGAGATTATAATTAATGCCCTACAAGGAATAGATTAATCTATACCTTTGCATTAAAAAATCCCTAAGTAGGGCTTTTGCTTAACATTTAGGTAGCGTTTGTTACATTACAATGCAATATGATTACAGGTAATGTGATTGTAAGTAATGTAATTGCAAACAATGTGATTACAGGGAAAATAACATTACGGTGTTTGGTATGTAAGTAAAATAATGATTAAAATGCAGAGAAGATAACATTGCAGTGTTTGGTTTACAAGTACTTTAGTGGGAATGTAATGCTAATTGTCAAAATTATCCCTAATTATTAAAATATAAGTTTAATATATTTATATTTTTTATTATTAATTTTTATATAATATCATTTCTTAAATATATTTTTAATATCATATATTTTATTTTTATTTATTATTATAATATTTTATATTTTATTTTTAATATATTTATATTTTTATTATTAATTTTTATATAACATCATATCTTAAATATATTTTTAATGTCATATATTTTATTTTTATTTATTATTATAATATTTTATATTTAATATTTAATATATTTATATTTATATTATTAATTTTTATATAATATCATATTTTAAATATATTTTTAATGTCATATATTTTATTTTTATTTATTATTATAATTTTATATATTTATTTTCATTTCTTTAATATATTTTTTATATTATATATTTTATTTTAATTTGTTTTATCTATATTATATAAATATTAATTTTTTATATTTTATTTTATTTTAATTTTTATTCTTATATTATATATTTTATTTTAATTATAATATTATAAAATATTTTTAATAAGATAATAAAGTTGAAGGATAAAATTGTCTTTAAGAATATTGCAGAATGCAATGTAATGTGATTGCATTGGTTTTGGACTGCAATCTTACATTGCAGTGATCTGTTACAAAACAAACACTGTAATGTAATTTAATAAGTCACATTGCAGGGAATGTGGCTTACATCCCTGATACCAAACGGACCGTTAGTCCCATCCATTGTTAGCTTCTCCTTTTTGCTAGAGCTGATAGGTTTTACTTATTTTATTGTATTTATATACATATATAAAAAAAACTTCAATAGGGGTTTTTTTTTTTACATTTGATCGGGTATTTTGTTGGATATCTAACTTTTAAAAAAGAAAAATTGATGAATTTTAATCTATATATAAAACAAGTCCATAAAATGGATTTTTACAGGACATGTGAATAATTTTATATATAATTAAAGTGATATGAGTTCAATTATTTCGGACCAATAATTAGTATTGTTAGAACCAAAAAGGCCGTGCTAGAGGATTGAGAGGGAAATGGAGTTTATAGTGGAATTGTTAGAGGGAGAAAAGAATTTAATACAGGCTCCAACGGCATTACACCAGTTTTAGTCCATTTGGCATTTTAAGATGTGCCTTACGAGAGCCCAAGCAAATAGAGAGACGTTAACATAGAAAGAGGTCATTTAGTGAGACTCCATGAAACAAGCCCAGGAAGAGCAAAAGGGCTGCGAATTTAAGTAGTGGCTGAGGCCTATGTGCGTCACAGATGGAGGCTATTGAATAAAAACATGGCCTGGGTGGCTCTACTTCTTCCTCCTTTGGAGAATCCAAGAATTGGGTTTTTTATCCAAACCTGCCGAGATAGCTCAATCTCACAGAGTATGGGGCCAGAATGTCAGATGTCAGTATCATTGAGCTAAATAACTCGAAATGTGTTGTTCTGCTAGATAGATATTGACATTATTCAAATCCTTCAACTTTCTCATACAAGACTTCATGATTGCTTTGTGATATGGAGATCAAAACTGGTACACGTGATTGTAAGAAATAGTTTATCATACATATGTCATGCTGAACGTAACTTCTACATGAAACCCATTCTCTACAAGAACTTAATGCATAGAACAAACAATGAGCAGATTGCAAACCATATGACACCTCTCAGTAATTGACATAAATTACCCATATGGAATGGCCATTTTTAATAGTTAGATGGGCAAAAGTGGTCACAGCCACAGGAGTACAATGAGAAACAGCGGAAGGCAGCAGCAAATTAAATATAAGGGACCTATCAATGAGTCACAATCATAAGCATTAATGGGATGCAGACATCTCGTCCGTACAGCTAAAAAGCAGGTACGACCCTTCCCCCTCCACCCTACCCCGCCACCCAGGGGGCCGCCATCTCATCATCGTCGTCGTCGTCGTCATCGGCTTTCTCGTTCCTTCTCGCTCATCTCACCTTTACGTCAGCTGACGTAGAAAAATTATACATTTAAAAATTAGAAATGTGGTTTAGGACATTGGAAGCCTGATTCTGCAGTCTCAGCCCAAAAGCTCTTTTACGGCCCACAAAATGATGCCCCACAGCTCCCTTTTGGAAAAAGCATTAGCCCAGGCCTTTTTTAACCATGTGGATAATTGGATATATTAGCATACACCTTTTGGCCTTTTTTATGAATGCTACATGATTATAACTCAGAAAGGAACACAATTAAAAATAATTGAAGGGTTCAGCTATTTATGATGGTTAAACTATAATAGAAATTTTATATATAAAAACTCATTGTCATAACACTGTGATAAACAATGTAAGACAAATAGAAAAAGAAAACATTAGGGATTGCAACTGATTCTAATAATCATTTTTAATATGAAAAAAAAAATAAAGAAGCAGATCTTCTGTTGATTGCTCCAATCTTCTTATAATTGTTGTAAGGAATTAAAACTTAAATTGCCACATGAAAACTTTAGTTGGAGTAACCAACTTAATTTATTGAAGATTAATTAATGTTTACAAGAGTTTTCCCCGTAGCAAATAATTAGTACATGAATAATGTCATACTCTATATATATATATATATATCTATATATATATATATATTAAAATTGTAAAAGAAAATGAACACTTGATAAAGGTGATTTTGTTACTAATTTATTCTTTCAATTAAACATTGATGATTCTATCTATTTTAAAATTTGTTATATAGAATGAACTTTTTGGTGTTGGAGCTAACTGGTCATTCGGTATCAAAGATTGAGGATTTTTAATTCTTTTTCCAGAGGCTCACTGTCGATGATGACATAACTTTTGCTTTACAAACATTGAAACATTATCGCCATTTCGTATTCATGTACTGCAGATATGACTCACCGAAAGTGTTGCTATTACATCTAATCACATATTACTCGATTGCCCTATGCTACAAACCGAATCCTAGATGTTATCATCGCTCTTTCTCCCTGCTTCATGCTCTTTGCAAAAACAAAAGTTGGGGCTTTTTCTGTTCCATTTTTTTTCCTCTCTCTAGATTCCCTTCACGTTTTTATCTTTAAAATACCTTAACTTCTATATCTTTTAATCATAATTTTACATAAATCTATTAATTTTTAAAATACACAATTTATCTTAAAAAAATCTTTCACTTGATGCATAAATTTAACTATTAATTTGATGATATATCAATATTGAAAATATAATTTTATTTTTTATTAATTTTAAAAATGATTAGTATCTAAATTATTATTTTTTATTTTTTATTTTTTATTCTATCTTTTTTAAGAGACAAATTTCTTTCAAGCCACCCTACAACCAGTGATGCTCTTTTGGGAACACAATCTGGTGCTCTCCAAGGGAGGGAAGCACCTGTCGTGAAGTGATCGACTGAAGAATGAAAGTGTCGTCAATTTATCACATTGATTGAGAAAAGAAAAAAAAATAAGAAAGAAAGAAAAAAAAAATATTTTAGTTTTTTTTCATATTTTCTATTAATACTGTTTACACTTTTGAGTCTTACTATCTATTTCGAAAATTAATGTATCCGAATTAAATTTTGGTTAAAACTTAAAAAGAATTTGAAAATTTTACCCAAATACAAAATATATATATATCCTTTTATGTTTTGGTTACTATGTATTTCCTTTTATTAATATCTTAATACGGTAACATATGAACTTATGAAGTGAAGAATAAAGAACAGAAACCTGAACTAATAACAATTGGCTAATTTTAGTTAACACTCTCAATTGTTAGGTAATAATTGATGTGTTAAGGTAATGTTTGAATATGAGAAGGATTTCTACTTTCTAACTTTTTCTCCTTTTGGAAGGTGCAAAGATTAAAAGTACAAAAAGGCATTATTTGATTAATGATTTTACATGGCAGTTACAAGCAATTTTCCCTTTTTAGATATAATTTTTTAAGTTTCTAAATATTGAGTTAGAATTCTCATGCAGAAACCTTGCCATAAACTAATTATATGTGAAATTATGGAAATAGGAAAAGGACAATATATCAACCAAAGGAGTATATATAATAGGATCCCAAAATGCAATAATATATTTTCATCAAAAGAAAATAGAAATGAAATTAAAACTCTAAAACAAAAACTAAAGCATGAACCCTCAAATGAGACTCACAGGTAATTGATTTTGTCATACATATTATATAGTTAATTAGGACTATTTTACCAAGCACAGGATTATCCTATCAATCATTCAAATATCTATATTCAGTCATTAAAGAACTCTTAAAAAG